CATATCAAACACTATGTTGAAAAGGACTCTTTGATCCTTTTGTGTGGCCTCGGATCTGGGAATACAATGGTGTCTCTGGGAAACCCTTTAGGTATTTTAATATTTTTCTCGTGTGTGTGTGTGTGTGTGTGTGTGTGTTTTATGTATTTATATGTTTCCTCCTCCTTTTTTTAGTTTTGCTTTTATTGCAACTTTCCTTTTCTTCGCTAGATTTCTGGTTTTCGAATAATCGGTACGGAAATTGTCTTTTTCTTATTTTTAATTTTTTCTCTCTCTCTTTCTTTCTTTCTTTTCCAGACATTTTTTTTATATAGAAATTAGGATAAAATGTGAGTTAAAAAATATGATAAAAAATGGCTGTTATACTCTACAGATTTTGCTTTACATGTCGCAGAATTTAGTAAGAAGGTTCCAACAATAGGTCTTTTGAAGTGGAAAATATATATTTCCCTTCCTTCTTTTTCTTTCTTTGTTTTCTCTGTGTTCTATTTTTATCATTATTATTATCATTTGGGATAACAGGAGTCATGAGTAATAGAAATCAATATATTTTTTCTTTCTTTTTTTCGTCATTATTTTAATTAATATTTATCTCTACCATTCTCTCTCCCTGTCTTCTTTTATTTTCTCAATGTTCTCAAAAATAAGGAATGAAAGAGAAGGGGAAAGAGAAAAAAAAGGAAAGAGAATGAAAGACGATCATTCTTAATCCTGGCTATAACTAGAACACTATATTTTATTACTCCACCTCACCTGACTCATCCTTTGTTCTTTACCTGTTCATCTGTTCTCCCCCAGGTGATCAAGATGCTGTTTATGGTAGTGGCACTGTTTGCATTCTGTTGGGCGCCGCTGCAGACATATCATGTGCTTCAGGAGATTTATCCCGATATCAATAAGTAAGTACAGAGCACAGACACGTACTCAAAGATACACAATTATGTGGATGTGCAATATTTTGGGAACTCAAATATGGATATGGATACTAATACATTTACTTATATAGGCACACAAACCTGTATACATATTTATATATGAATACACAGACATACACATACATCAGTGTGAAAAACTCTGTGAAGGAATATTACAAGTGTATACGGATATTGCCAATATCAAGAAATGGGTAGTAATTGATCTGATTCATATATATATTCTTTATATTGCATACTGTTTTCATTATATCAGTAAAAGTAATAAAAGATTCCTCCTGTGATATATTTGATAGTTGTATCCCACCGCTGCCACCATTTTCAGATTCTATTTTCTCGCTTCTAATATTTCAGACCAAAGAACTTCTTGTCAGCACCACATTCATGTTATTGTCATAAAGAGTATATTCGTTTATTCACCACAATCTCTCACTATATTCTTTATTCCTCTCACTATATTCTTTATTGGCCAATAATTCTAAAAGTAGGGAGTACTTGATTAAGCCTTATTGGAAATCGAAATTAAAGTCTGCCCTTTTGATGCCTGCTTTTGAAGGTACTCGAGCTGCTGAGCCAAACTCGTACTAAATTGGACGTTCTTATTACATTCTGGATGATTTCTCTTCTTGCTTTATTGATAGTGTTGTAGTGCCATGTCAATGCTATTTTTTAAGTAAGATACTTGACACAAAAAGGGATATACAAGATATTTCTTTCTGAATACATTTTACTGATTTGAAGCATAATAGGGGTATAGTGGAAGATCCCAATATGGATTTTATCAATTTTAAAATGTTGTGAATGCCACTTAGGACTTCATCATCTCTTGATCACTCTCTTGCATGATTTTTTTTATTATTATTGACAAACATACCCATGTTTTCAGAAGTTACAAAAACATAATTAGGTGAATAGTTGCAGACATATAGAGTAATAAGTAATTCTTTGTCTGTCTGTCTACCTATCATCTATTCAGTTTAACAAAATAAATGCAATGAAAGTAAAAGAAAAAAAGAAAAATATGTCAATATTAATTTAAACGAATGCAGATTCAAGACTTATATTACTTTATTACTTCCTCCGTGAATTTCTTTGATCTTAAGACGGTTTTCTCCTTTTTTTTCAATTTCTTTTCAACTTTATCTCCTCGAGCGTCTATGCAGATTAAATTTATTTTGACCTGAATAAAGAAGACGAGCTCGTTACTTTGATTCATTCGGAGTATCATCAGTTTAGAATTAATGGATATTATTTGTTATGATTTTTTTATTATTATCATTATCATTTTATTATATAGCATGTTTAATTGAATTTGTTTACATATTTTATCAGGTGATATAAGCCTATAAAATTAATTAATTTTTGACAATGTAAGATGAACAGGAATTCGTTTTTTTTTATTGTTAAATATCAAATAACAGAAAAAATACTGATAGTGATGACAGCAGAAATAGTGATAATAAAGGAATATTTATCAAATATAGCATGGATAACGTGAATAATAAACATAAATATAAAACAATGATAAGCAGGTTGAATGAATATTCTAATAACTTCATAGACTATAT